GTTTATTATTATTCTTCTCTCTCTCTCTCTCTCTCTCTCTCTCTCTCACACACACACACACACACACACACACACACACACTTTTTTTATAAATTAAGGTTAGTGTTGTAAGTGAATTTGGTTTGGGATTATACAAGTTATTTCCGCAGTTGAAGTCAAGGGAAGTCGAGAGACATAGGTAAGCAAGGCAAATTAGGTTTGATATGAAATTAGGAAAGGTATACAGGAAAGCTCCTTCCCTTCCCTGCCTATCCTCTGGCCTTCACCATTCCTCATTCTAAATGAACATTCTGGCCTATTGATCAAGGCTTCCCTTTATTAGTCTGTTTCCTTCCTGCACAGGTACTACCTGCGTTCAAAACGCACTGGGCCTGCAGCCAGACCAACCAGATGGCTGGAGGATTCCATTTAACAAGCATGAGGGAGGATGCGGGGCTGCCATGCGGTCCATGTGCATTGGGCTGAGGTTTTGTCATCCTGAGCAGTTGGACAGCCTGATTCAAGTCAGCATCGAGAGCGGTCGAATGACCCATCATCATCCAACTGGCTATCTGGGATCCCTGGCTTCTGCTCTCTTTACCGCCTATGCTGTGAATCGCAAGCCCCCTCACGAATGGGGGAAGGGACTGATGGAAGTGCTGCCGCAGGCTAAAGTCTACATCCAGAAGTCTGGCTACTTTGTGAAGGAGAACCTGAAGCACTGGTGAGCCAGGCTGGGTTCTGCTGGTGAGATGACTGGAATTTGTAGGCCCCCAAATGGTTGGTTACCAATCTCTCCAGATTATCAAATGCCAGGCATTCAGCAACCTCAGCCATTGGGTCTCAACACCGTTTTTTGAAAGGAGTCCGTTTCATGGATCCCAACAAGGAGGGTTCACTTCATGGCCCTTTTACACTGCCTTTGTGTCAATGAGAATCAGGCCCTAGGATAGGAAAGATTTCTACCCCATCCCACAGCTTTCCTCTGCATTGCCCACTCCTGCATGTTCAGGCCTCCCTGCAGTCTTGTTGGAAGGTTATGAAAGTGCTTTACACACCCTCACAAACTAACTTTTCTAAATCCCTCTGTGAGGGAGGGAAGTATTGCTGTCCCTAGTGTTAGTGTGCAGGTGCTGGGGGCCTATGAGATACAGATCAGGCTAGATGATTTGGTGGTTGCTTCTGGCCTTAAACGCTATGAATATATGACTTTACAGATAGAGAAAGAGGGGATTAAGCAACTTGTCCTCCACTACACTTCTGTTCTCTAACGGGGCCAAAGAGAGAACCCAGCTCCCTGCATCTCAGCTACAAGACCATCCTTCCTCCCTAGAGCCTGAATAACTAGAGATTGGGGCTGTGGAGAACCTTAAATAGATCAGAGCCAAGCTCAACTCAGACAAGCACTCAAGGGTTCTGATGTTTCTTTGCTCAAACCAAACCTAGAATCTGCAAATCTTACGAGAGAACATGCTTCTCCATAAGCTATCCACTGGATATCCTGCAGAACAGCCTCTCTGTTCAAACTGTACCGCTGATGTCAGACAGAGCTAGGGAGCGCGAAGGTGATTGAAACAGAGAGGGAGGGAATTATTCATGCTTTTCAGAATCTAACAAGGTTCTTTCTAAAAAAGAGGTGGCTTTGGGAAGTGGAAGGGGATTTTAACTTTATCCAAGCTAGTTCACATAGTCCTAGTTAGCTTAAAAACCAACCCTTGGGGTCAGTTCCTCAACTGGAGCAATGCAGATTTACACCAGTTGATCATGATCTTCAACAACTCAGTGAATACTAAAGTGATTTGTGAATATTTGTGACTAAGAAACAGCATGTTTGGTTCACTATTCTTTGTGGAGTATTCAGATGGCTGACAACCATTTGTGAAAAAACGTGAAATTTTCAAGAGTCGCACACAATTTTTAACACCAATGATGATTGGTTATTCAGAAATTTCCTGTAATATTTGTCATCCAACTATGGGGCAGAGATACCAGGACTACTTCTGTGGCCAATCACACACCACCAATAAATTCTCTAGTGGACACTTCAAACAAACCATAGGCTGAAATGTGGTTGTGTAAACTGTTTGGCAAATTCCAAATTGACAGTAATCAGGATTGGCTCATCAGTAATTCAGAAAGAGGGAAAACGGGGGGGGGGGGGGGGAGGCGGTCGAGCTCTATCTTCCATCACTAATAGGTTATCTCAGCTTGGAAGAAAGCAGTCCCGAGGCAGCAGGCAAATTTATTTTTAGAGCTGGGGCTGAGGTGAGAAGGTCAGATACACGTTTTGAAAGCACCCCCGAGTTTCAGATGTTACCCCCAGCACATTAGGGCTTGGGGTGGAGGGCAGGCAGCTAAAATATTTTGATCTGGATCCTGGTTCGGACTCTGAATCCATTCACACACATAGTTTGTGGAGATGATCTGAATGCAGGATTTTGGTTCTCTCTACTTATTTTCTGTAACTTTGAATCTCTTGCAATGCAATGGGTTATTTGTCCCAGTCGGTGCTCTACTGCCCTCTCCTGGAGGGAAGAGTCAAATGCTTAAGTGTTCCTCCCTTTGTGATTCTCACCCTCTCATAGCCTTTGTATTGTGCCGCTAATGTCTCCAATTAGACAGGAAAGGTTTGCTGTTTGGTTTAGCAGGTGGGCTGAGTTCGCTCTCATGTTTTTTGCTGACAGCTGTGGTGTTCATCTGTTTAAACAGAAATGCTGCCTACTGCTGCCCAGGGACTTTTGCTTACTTTTCTCTCCTGTTTTGTAGGTCCTACTTTGAAGAACAGTGGAAAAGATACCTGGAGTCCAGGGGAATTTCAGATGGAGTGTCTGTTCCTACCTTCCCCCCCATATATGGCGTGAAGGAGCGAGATGAATTCTATGTCTCCCTGAGCTACTCTGGCTGGGGCGGCAGCAGTGGGCATGATGCCCCAATGATTGCCTACGATGCCATACTTGGCGCTGGAAACTCCTGGACGGAGCTCGCTCACCGGGCTTTTTTCCATGGTGGGGACTCTGATTCTACAGCAGCCATTGCCGCGTGCTGGTGGGGGGCCATGTATGGCTTCAAAGGAGTCAATGTATCCCTCTATAGAGAACTGGAATACAGAGAGAGGCTGGAGAAAATAGCTAAGGCCCTGTATGAGGTCAGCCAGCCAGAGGGCTAGTCCAAGCAGAGAGGTGGTTCTAGAGTTCACAAGACAAAACTAAACTTTACAAAGGTCCCTGTATAGCTTGCGGGGTGAGGGGAGGGTTAGATTGATCTTGGACTGTACTTTACGACCCATCTACCTGCAGCTCCTGATCCGCCCAGGCAATGCTTGTGCTTCAGCAGTCTGTCTAGCCAATGCCTAGTACTAGAATAACGGGATTAAGGATGAAAGTGTGAGGGGGAAATCTGGCATAGCAGCTGTGTTCACTTTTTTTTTTTGCCACTGCTAGCGGAAATGCAATCTCAGAAGCACCAAAGAGCAATGCATGGGCAGCCAGGTTTGGATTTTGTCAGTAATAGTAAAAGAATTTGGTACTGGGTTGAGTTTGAGTGAAATTTTATATTCCTCCACAGGACAGAACCAGCACAGCGTGCTAGTGCCAGCCTTCCCTTCTCTCACATCCCAGTGCACTCACCCCAGACACGTAGTGAGCACCTCGACAGCTGAGAGGGGAATACAGTCTCTAGGGCCCCTTCAACCCTTGGTCCTAAGCGACCAATTAGTGCGAAGCACAAGGGTGGATTTTCACATCTTTAGTGTGGGGAAATGCTTTAAGAATGGTCATTTGGCATTTGTTTAAAACCTAATTTCACAGCATCTCTAACCAATTGCAGAATTTCAAGACCTTTTGTTATGATTAAATAAAAATGTCATTATCTCTTGCCTACTGCTGTTAAGGGGGAAGTTAAATCCACATACAGTCTTACCATTCACTTAGCGTAATTCTAACATTAGGGACAGAATTTGCACCTTACTTCATCAAACTGGATCTCATTATGAAGAATTAGAAATAGGAAATGCCGCTTGCTACCATCTCCCAATTAAGAGTTGAGACCTTTAGAGCTGTTGAAAGATGTTCTTTTCTCAAAATTTTATGTAACTGCTGATAACACCTTTGAAAGTTTCTTGCTTTTCTGTGCAAACAGCCGAATTCTGTGTGTCTTACTCCCAAGATGGCAGCTTTCAAGCTGATCATCATTTATCCTATTTAAGATCCTTTACAAAAGAATACAATTACTACAAAATGTAATCTGATAATGCAGAACAATTCTGCTCTATGTGAAACAGTCTAGATTTGCAAATGAATAGAAGATAGCTGCTGCCTCACCATGTCAGAGGTTCGCCATTGTGCCTTTTGATGAATTTGCAGCAGATATCAAGGAAATGCTGGAAGCGTATGAACGAGTTTCCAAATGAGAGGGAAAAGAGACTTGCAGTTCTGTACTTTTGCCTGGGGTGACCTCTGTTTTTTAAGTGCTCTGTCTATAATTAAATAAAAGCAAATATTTGGCAAATGGAAGATAAAGCACATATTTCTCATTTGAAACTGTTTATTGGTGTTCCATTTTGTCCTTCAGTCTCACGAGAGAGAAGGAAGGAGTTGTATGGATTCCTGACCAAATTTAGTGCTCAAGTCAATGAGGGTGTATTTATTCTTCCCTCGAAGTGCTGCAAGGTAATGCTAAGAGCTTTTGTGCTTGCATTGAGGAGACAGGACCCCTGTGCCCAAAAGGACAAAGGTAAAGGCAAGGAGAAGATGGACAGATACTGTTAGGAAAGTGAAGGCCACACAACATTGTTAACTGTGCTGAAGTGACACAGAATATAAACTCAGAGCTGAGGTGGTTTGTTTTTGTAAGGATAGTGTGAATGCTTCCCCGCCGCCCCTCCAGAACGTATTTCTGCACAAGTCCAGGCTCCCATTGCTATAGCAGTCATGGAAGGAGACATCTGGTCATTTATCAAATTCAGACTTGGAAAACTGTTTCCTGCCTCCAAATCTGTAAAACAAGCCTAAACTAGTACCACAAGAGCAAGGTACCTTAGTACATATTCCCTCCTCTCCAGACTCCTTGTCAAGAGAACTGCCGAGGAAAACTTTAGTGCTGCACTTGGTCCATGGATCCAGAAGCCTTGTAGTTTTGTGGTTGCATTTAGTCATCAAAATAATTTACCCTTAGCCTCCCCATCCCAAAAGAAAGCAAGGGGCTACTATCATTGGGAAAAGAGAAGTCATGAGCCAGGGATGTATGGGGGAGGCCTCTGTCTTCTGAGAGAGGCTTTATCCCAGTTATATGGTGGGCAGGGGTTAAACACATGCACATGTGGAAAGCACTGGACCTCAGTCGCCCCCCCCCCCCCCCACCCCGACTCCCCCTGCCAAAGAACCTCAGGAGACCGGAGTAGGACTGGCTGGAAAAAGCTAGTATTTCATGACCATTTTTTAAGAAATAAAAAGTTTTGTTAAAACTTGTGTTTTTTTGTTTTGTTTTATACCAAAAAATGTAAGTTTTGTTACATTGTAACCTCCCAACCAAAACCCCACCTTGTTTCAGTGTAAAAACAAAGTGAAAGAAAATGGGTGTTTCTGCCAACAAAATGAAATTTAAAAAGCAACTTAGCTGAAAACCAAAACATCTCAACCAACATGAATGTATTTATTTGTTTTGTGTGTGGCAGAAGTCATTTTGGTCACAGACATTTCTGACAACCCCCGCCCCTTTTTTTTTTAAATTAAAAAAACTGCTCTAGTCTTGAGAGTTTTAGGGGGAAGGAGTTGCACCAGGACCTCAATGTAGATCTCGTTGGGCACATCCACGGTGTTCCAGGAGTAAGCAGGTCTCCAGGCCACGTTGTGCAGTCTGGGTACTGCCCAGGCAGCATAGAACTCCCACATGGTTCTCCGCTACACAGTCAGCATTGCTGTTTATCCCACAGACCACAGCCCCTGCACTTCAGTTGCCACCTATTTTGAGCTGTAGTGGGAGACCCAACCCATGGGGATCTATCCCCATGGCCCTGCGCATACACCCGCCCACCTGTGCATGGCCATCCTGCAGATACTCAGTCCCTGTTTTAGAACATTCCATGCACTCCCCTCTCCTGCTTGGGTCCATTTAGGGAAATGTGGTGGGCGGAGGGAAGAGGAATTTGTGCAAACTCCTGAAAATGTGATCCTTAAATGGGTGCTTCAGTTTCACCAGCCACAGAATGGAGGTGCTGACAAGGCAGTTTTACAAAAGGTTGGCCAGATTCTTGCACTGTCAATAAAAATGGTTTAGTACCGAGGTGCCACCCATGTTCTTTCCGGATTGCACACAAACGGATTGCACACAGAAACACGATGCCAAAGAAATGGCCGGCTCCTTCCTGTTTTGAACTTTGATGGGATCTGTAGGAGTGTGTTCTAAGGCAACTTCTGTATTAGCCAGCTCTCTGAGCAAGCCAGGGCAAGTTATTCTGCCACATCACAGTGGCTGTGCGCCGTGGGACCTAGCATGAGAGCATAGCTGTCAGCAGAAAACCTAAAGCCAGAATTCACCTAGAAATGAGCAGCTCTAGAAAGTTCTCAGAAGTCAACATTAGCCTTTCCTCTGACCCCATTATAGCTGCCACCCTCCTGGTTGCTGATTACATACTTTCCTCACCAAAACTGCCAAGCGCATGGTTAGAATCCAAAGGCCTGATTACATCTCGATTTGACACAGCTCAGATGCCATTCGGAAGCTCCCTCTTGGCCGACAGTGCATGAATATGTGTGCATGCATGAGAAACTAAAGCACATTGAAAACCCATATCACACAAAACCAGCAACAAACATTCATCACGATTTCAACACAGTTTACTACAGCTCTCAGGTGTGTTGTATAAAACATGTTTAGTGCAACATAGTACAAAGCTCCTTTAAAAAAAAAATCCCAGTTTTCCACATCATGCATGGACAGGTTTTTCTCTTTGCTTCTTGGCTCATTACAGAAAGTTAAAGCAGAGAAAAAGTTGTTTGAAAAACTTCATGATAAAAGTTGTTGCAGGAAGAGTCTAGTTTATACAAAAAAAAAGTGAGGCTGGGCAATATGTTGCCAGCACAACTGATAAGTCATATTCCAGGTAAACTCGTGTAACCGCAAACGCTGCTTAGAGGGAAATCCCATCTAATGGCCCTCAGGAATGCATCTGCTTAAGAGAGACAAGCTGTGGAAGGGAATGTTTCTGGCCACTGGAGGGCACTGCGGAACAGCTTTCCATGGAAAGAGGGAAGCAACGCTAGTCAGAAAGGATGGAGAGAGATGTAGAGGCTACTGGGTCAATACAGCAGAGTTCCAGTGCACAGCTGAGGAGCAATGTTCTCTTAGGGCAGGAAAGGCTCCTGTTGGTGTCTTTTTTTCCTTTTAAAACTGAAATGAGTTGCACTTCCTGCCCTGAAGCAGTATGTACAGGAGATTTTACATTTATAAAACAATACCCACTGGCTTTGGGGCTGCTGTTTGTTTGGGTTTTTTTGGTTGGTTCTTCATTTCCATTCGCTTTTCAATCCTCCCTTCTGAGCAGACCCTCCGGATATCCAAGGGGGAGGACTGTCTGAGTGTCTATTAGAGAGCAATATTATACATACAGAGGGGCTGCTAAGCAGTAACAATTTGATGGAGGGAGAGACAGCAAATTCCTTCCTCATAAGGAAAGGGATGTCTTAAAACTAACGTTAGGTGGACTCTCCCTCCAGTGGAGTGAGGCTTTTATGCACACGTATGTAGTATAGACACACACCCCCTCTCCTCCATCTATGGAAAGATTCTACATGGTGTAGATTTCTGTGCGGGCTCTTCACTTGCACTGAAACATCAGAGCATCATGGTTTAACCTACTGGCCCTGCAGAGTTCTCCGAGCAGGACTGCTCTATCATGGACCCGCCAGCTCCTTCTCTCTTGAGGAAGGATAGTCCTATTGGCTTGGAGAGGGCAGAGGCTGCGGGAATGGCCCCTCACAGACACATGGGGAAGGGGAAAGAGGGCGTGTGGTATATCCCCACTTGGATTTAGCCACTCCACAAAAGACAAACAATGGCCAGGTTTTCCAGGAAGACATCAAGGAAGACAGTGAAAGGCCATTTTAGGCCATTGTTCCACCCCTTCCCTCCCGACATACGCCAAGGAAGTGTCAGAGGAGGCAGTTTCCTACACCAGATTTGCTGGGGTACTTGGCTTACTGGGTAGTGGAATTCGGGTCCTCCAATTATACAGAGCCCCCATTTGGTTTTTAACCACTGTATCTTTCACGGAAAGAACAGCACTTACTACCCCAGCACTTGCTTACAATAAAGATCAGGTGACTTTGGGGGGTTGTTCTCTTAGAGAAATAAAGCCAAAACAACAGAAAATGGCACAAAACACACAAGAGAAGGGAGAGAGGATTGGTTTCTTTCCAGAGGGCATAGTAGCACCCGGGGAGCAAATCCCTCCAGCAGCCTCCTTGCCTGGTTTCAACTCACATTGGTAATTAGTGCAAGTCCTTGGAAACAACATGAAACCTGGTCATTAATTCCCATTGCCCAGTGTGTGGCTGTAACATACCCGCCTTGCAGAATAATTCAAATATAATTAATCCCAGTCAATGGAGCCTCCCTCTCCCCCGCTTCCTAAAGTCATTACTTTGGTCAAGCTGACGAGGTTGGATCCAGCCGTCTGGCCCCACGTGACTGGAGCACGCAGGCAGCCCAGCCTCAACCCTGCCACTTCTGAGAGAATGGCAGCACGGTTTAGTAAAACCAGGTGGGTTTTGTCCCTGGTAAGCTGGGCTTTCTGGGGAGTCTTCTCCTTGCTAGTGGCAGGGCCAGAGTGTCCCATGGCCCCAGGCACACACAGTCCTTTGGATTAAACCAGGCTGCTTTAGTCCTGACTGCAAGTGGCCCGAGCGTCCAATCCTGTCCAAGGACAAGACGACACCTCCCAAATGAAGTCCCGCATACATGCTAAATCCTCAAAGAAAGGAGAAACGTTTGGGATGCAGAAGTGGCTGAACTAGCCTCATCTTCGAGATGGACCTCGCCGAAACCCAGCTGCCCTCAAAGCGCAGTTCTGGTCTGTTCACTTCAGAATAGTGAGCAGCTGGCTCAGTTCACCTTGGGGAAAGATTTTGTTCACTACAACATGAAGTCCAAGGAGGGACAAACAAAACTTAATTTCAGGAAATGAATACTTTTACTCCAAAAAGAGCCCCAGAACACCCAGACCAGAGCGCCGAATGAAACTGCTCATGGTGTGACGGGGAGGGGAAGACGACAGTCGTTGGGTAACAAAAGCACAGTCCAAAGGACAACTACTGATGAGAACACAATGAACCCAAGAGGAAAATCCACTATGTACAGCAAGCACGTGGACTGTCTGTCCATCTCTGGACTAGTTTTGTTATCACAGGTGCTTGAGGAAGACTCGGACCCTCCAATCCCAGAGTTGGGGAACTCTGAAGGGCTCAGTCGTGGAGTCGAAGAACAGATGCTGAAACAAACTAAACAAGAACATCAA